TGGGGACTTTTTTCCAGCTATCCTCACATTGCTGTTTAAAAATAGAACTGAGAGGTGCACACCTGGACCCCTCATTAGGCTGCCTGGAGCTCGCAGCACCTTCCTCTGCATTTTTTATTTGTACTGTATCTCTGACATTTCCTTAACCCCTGCAGTGTATTGTGTGTGGAATTATTTGTTCAGGGTGGCAATAAATATGCTGTACTTAGTTGTCTAGCACTGTTAGACTCTGACTGCTGAGTTTCCAATTTTGTCTTTAAGTGTGTTCAGTAAACACTGTCTTTTGCTTTGCCACATTTTTAGATATAATGAAGTATAATTATTATGAGATATTTTAGTTTTGTAGTTTTTATTATATTATTATTAAATAAAATTGTTGTTCTGATTTCCAGGACATTTAGGAAATCATGGGAAGTTTTAAAGGCCATGCATTGCCTGGATGTTTCTTCCTGATCACAGGCCTGTGGTGGGCTGCAAAGCAGACATTTTTGTTCACCACCCGCAGGAATAAAAGTGCTGGTGCGGGCAGACTTGCATCTCGAGCTATCCAACGCCGCATAGAAATCATAGAAGGAGCTGTCATTTTATCATTTTCTATTATAGGTGAGTTTGGTATTAAATTATAGGTTGTATACGTTTTTATGTATTAATTCTCCTTTGGTATTAATGTTTTATTTTGCTGGTCTAGATCAGTGGTTCTCAACAATTTTGACTCCAAGGTCCACTACTGTCAACAACAATATTCAAAGGCAGGGATCAACACTAAGGATTTTTTCTACTGGCCCAGCCGGGCCAGTGGTTCAAATTTTTACTTGCCCTGCCAACATTTTCACTGGCCCTGCCACAAAAAATAAAATAGTTGCTGTTATCATTGTTTTTGATCTGTTATATTGTATTCTAATAAATAAGCTTATATGACACCAATATTTTAGATACCAATTAAATTTTGCAATTCTCTATTTCAATTTCGACACCACAGCAAAAATCACTAGCCAAAAACAAACATAAATATAAAGTTTAAACATTAAAGACAAGTGACAGCCAGCAGTAAATAAGAACAAATGAAGAAAACATCTGTATGAAACAGAAACAGCAGGTGGACTGAATGAGACGCAGATTCACTTTCTGACAGCAGACAGCGCTTATGGTACAGTGATACAGCGTTTCCTTGGTTACCGCTGTAAACACAGCAGCGCTGCGTGTATTAACACTAATTTAAATGCATCATACGGAGACAAAATGAAAAGAAAACGCTCC